TGACGATGAATTTCGATCGGCGCTATGCTCTGTGCATTCAAAAACTTTATCACTGACCGCACTTCACAGTCGGCGGGGGCTGGAATAAGAACCTCCATCTTCAACAGCTGCAACGATGCTACTGTGAGAACGCGGGAAGTACCGTTAGTGCATGCGCCATGCTACGTCATTGCTCTATCACGTACGCACAGTCGCTTCGCTCAATATAAGGTTTGCTAGCTGTGGGACGAGTGAGAAACTTACTTTTGGGACGCGCCTCGTATATACATATATATACATGTAGCAAACAGGAAAGTACTCTCACAAAATACATCTTAATATTACCAGTAGACCTACAATAATCTGCCAATAATTTTTTTCCAATAACTTTATTAACTTAATGGGATAAGACATAGCAAGTTTGAAGATAACTTTCCAGTGAAAGTCGGTTATCAAAGATCGTTTTAGCTTTAATCTGGTGACCGTATTTCCGGCTACACATTGGCACCACGAGCGTAGGCTTCCAGATTGATGCTATGAAGGTTAAGTGGAATACAGAAACCCGTTTTAAAAAATATCGAAATTGATCTGTCACATATCCAGTGGCTAGACTCTGGTTTCTCACCGCCAAGAGGATAGAGCAAGTTTTTCTCCAAATTATTCGGGTTTTATTTATTAATCATCTTGCCACCATTGCCCTACTCATCTGTCACCTGTCTTCTGACGTGTGCGATGATCAAGACGAAGCATCACATTGTTATACCCTCGATCCTAAGTTGAAGCTTCATATATGACTAGGAGCTTGGTCAGTCTCAGAGTAAAAACAGATTATAAAATAGACGCTGCTGAAACAAAGATTTCTGACAGACAGCCACATGCTGAAGTCCTTTTCAGAAGACTAATATATGCACAATAACAAAGAAATGTAACGTTGAAAAGAAACTAAATTCTTGCCCAAGTATTGTTCAAAAGAAGGTCTTACATGGGCTGATTGCAAAGATATGAAATCAATAAATTCATAGTCCTGTAAAATGTCAGTGTTGAAAATCATCTTAAAGTGGCTGAATGGAAGGCCGACGCTTAGGTTGTAGTTAACACTGAAATTTATTCTTTATATGGACTGACCTCGACTAGGTGATGAAGTCCTTTTCTTTAAGATTTTGTGACCAAAATTCTATACAGAATGGAGCATAATTAGTTACCTTATGAACAAGCGGAATATTCTGAGCGCTTTTCAAGCTATCTTGGGCTTTATTTCTTGCATCAGCTGAATCTTGCACGGGAAAATATTTAAATCGTACGTCAAGATTCGACACAGCCGTTCGGATGATAAAATTTCTGCGAAATTCTCTCTGCTTTAATGAAAATGAATAATCGTTTTTTAATATCAATTCAAAAATCTGTGCACGCTGCTGGGCTGCATAACGGTTCATAATAATTTACCAGGCCTCTGATAACTGAAAAATAAAAAAACTAATAAATAAAAATTTAATTATTTAAAGTGGAGTAATGAATAAGCACCATTCTGTTTGTGTCTTCAAATATGAAATCTCAATTTCAAGCTGATAAAAAATTAAATATTTTGTTACTTTTGTTAGCCGATACTTCGTCCTCAATAGAAGTTCACTCGCAGTATTTTCAGTTTCCGTCCTTTGTAGTTGATGCAAATATTCACTAAACAACACACGAATAACATGTAATAGGAAATAAAATTTAATGGAATATGATTCATCTAACGACCTTGTTAATTTCAAGAACCTTGAATTCACACCCTTAAATGTTGTTTAAGTGAATATATTCTTTAAGAAGCCTATTATATTGCTCCTTCATGATAGGTAATAGACAATGAATCACTTAAAATGCTATGAGGGAAAATCTATATTGCATAGATTTTCCCTCATAGTTTATTAAACGGATGAAAGTGTTGACCTTCCTTCTTAAGAATTGAACTCAATCTCCATGGCAACAACCTTGAGTACTGTAGCAGCTCCTGACAAATTAGCATCTAATGAAAGACTGGCATATACTATACTATCCACAACAGATGCAATTCTAAGTTTACAATTACAATTCTACAGATAATTTTAGACCATATTAATTGTTTTATGCACAAAAATATTCTTCAGAGTCTCGTACACTCAGATAAATGACATAATAATATAGAACAATGTGTGGGACATTTACGCGATTCTAGGAATTCGAATTTACATTAGGGTGTTAGACATGTCTGTTTTCCACGAAGCTATATTGCACTCTCCGTTGTGCAGCAGTGTTATTTAGCCTGAAGGAACTATAATGAAGCCCACGACAGAGCGAAAAGAACTCCACCCATCACCATAATCAACACCCACCTGAGTAACATAACAGAAAAGTCTTTTTAACTGTACAGAACTTTCGTCTACCCACAGGACCACAACCAGCTCCCACTCTCAAGGAAAAATCATAACATAAAATATTATGCCCATTATATGAAATATGCATTTGTCAGAAAATGGATTTATCAAGTATCTGCACACTTCCTTGAATATGCAGAGAGTAAAATCTAGTAAATCTGAGCTTTTACCACAAGCGCTGTTTCCTTATGGGATCTTTGAAATAGATTAATTCCTCGTCAACTGTGGGATGAAGTTTTTAAAAGAGATTGCGGTGTGTGTCTGAAAAATATAAACAGATTTCGAATGCCAACACAGCAAACATGAATTCCCTTTGAGGAAGGTACGATTATTTTTTTAGTGCGTAAGTAAACTGAAGATTGTGCTTACACCAAACAAACGCCGTGGCATCAAACGTGAATAAAATTTGAAATGCTCACCGTGAGCATATAGTATGTAATTATAGTTCAAAAGTTAATATATGTTTCTAAACTGTGTATGTTTAGTAACACTTACATGTTTTTTAGCGTTAAAACGAAACACTGCTTTGGTTTAAAACGTTTCTGACTTTACATTCTAACGCCGCTAACATATGAAATTTGACATTTTGAAACTCTGTATACAAAGGCGACGATAATCAAAGCTCAGAAAGAACGGATCTTATTTCGAATATATTTATTCAAATAAACAAACAACACATGAAAAACTAAATCCCTGGTAGCAGAACCCGCAGGTTCGACACCGACAACACCAAAGCCCGCCACCGGCCACGATCCTGAGCCAACTCCATCCGTTTGCATTCCTCACAGCCCACCTCTCTAAGATCCTTCTTGATATTATCTTCCCATCTCTTTCTTGGTCTTACCAGTGGTGTTTTCCACAAAAATAAAGAAATACCAGCAACGCAATAAAAGCGAATTCCATCGTATCGAAAATATTGCATACAAATAAATATATGAATGTTTTGTTTTTTACACTACATGTTTCGTGTTAACTTGTAAATAACAATTTGAGTTTTGTTTTTCTTAGGGCCTTTACGCACCAGGCCCTCTGGGCTGTCCAGTTTATGGTATTACGAATATTTACAGACACTTGGTGGGAGTACTTCAACGGGGATCGGGTTATCGCAAGGTCTCTACCTGCATAGAAAATCGGGAACAACAAACATCCACGGCTCCAGCGGAACTTGAAACCACAGTCCCAGTGAACAAATAGGCCAAGACCATGGGCCATGCCATTGCTGACAACTGACAGGTCAAATACAAAAATCGAAGCTTGTCTTCACAAAGAGACTTATTTAGTTGAAGATGGGTTGTTGCGCCGCGTAGTATGGTAGAAGTTTACCGACGTTACAGAGGTCCTTGCTGCCTCCATCATCATGGTGATGGTCTAGCACCTTTGAAACGTCGGTAAACGGTTACCAGACATCACGGCGCAACGACCCGTAAGACGCTTATCTCCGAAGTCTCAGATATTTGTGTGATTTATATTACCGTACTGCATCGCATAAATCGCTGTAAAACATCAGCCCCACCCCCTGTGTGAATGGAATATTTACGACTGAAAAATCTTGCGAAGTGTCACTCAGGACTGAACGTTATCTGAGAATTAATTAGAAGAAGTGACAGAAAACAAAAGCCTGCAGCAACCGCTGAAGTCTCTGAGATGACATTCACAATGAAATGTTAATTAGCATTCAGCAATAAGTAACTCTCTGGTACAGAGCATTCTTTGAGAAATGTGTATAGGTGTAGCTACGGCAGTTAAGGCATGGAGTAAAATGTTACCTTGTAAAGGCATTATACTTCACTATTTTTATAAATTTTATAAAAAAATTAAATAATTTGTAATGTTTATAAAGCAATTACCAAGGATTTTTTTCGTAAACAATAAATAATATGCCTTTTCCTTTGTTGTTAATGTTAAACTTACAATCAGTAAAACCACCATAGTAATAATGTTGGTCGACCTTGTTGTTTAACAATCGTGAAATAACTATAGTGAAAGACTGTAATCTTGAGACTTGCGGGGTTAGGAAGTGGGGGAGGAAGGAGGAAAGACAGCGTCTGCCTTTAACGCTTCGGACTTCCTGCATTCCTCGCAAGTCTCAAGATTACAGTCGCGCACTGTACCTAAGGCTCATACGACTAAACTTGTTTTGCCTCCATGTGGGAAGCTCATGCGAGAAGCTTCAAATCGAGTCACAAATTGCTGTACCTGGATGATTAGTGGGGTGTAAAATAATTATGAATTTAGAAGTGGAATAAGTTTTAAAGTAAGCAAATACCTCAAGCATCACGCTCTAGCTAAAACGCCCAGTGTTGTTGTTGTTATCCTAGTTCATCTGTCTCTCGACTCGGAAATGGCTGAATGGATGTTCATGGTATATGTTAAGAAGTTTTGTGCAATTGAAGGTCAGTTCAAACTAGTAGTTTTAATTTCCTGCAATCAAAAATAAAATCGTGGCAGATGCTCAAACTTGTAAAGAGGGAGGATGATCTCCCGTGATGACGCCATTTGACAGTTTCCGCATGTTCGATGAAGTCATCGCTCGTGATAACGAAATCGCCCATACGCAAAAAATGACTCGACAATGGCTGAACGGAGTTTTAAGAAATGTGGTATGGGCGTTATAATATTAGATTCTACACCAAACTCGTACTATTTCTTATTACTGTTAATATTATCATTATCATTATTATGAGCCACGCACCGCAAAGGGTAAACATAGATTTAGTGTGTTATAGAACAATTTCCTAAGGAAAATATTTGGATTTAAAAAAGTAAGCAAAGGGAAGCTGAAGAAAACTGTATATGAGGAGATTCATAATTTGTTCTCTTCACACAATACAGGCATACCTCGTTTTATTGCGCTTCGCAGATATTGCGTTTTTTACAAATTGAAGGTTTGTGGCAACTTTGGTTGAGAAAATCTATCGGCGTCATTTTTCCAACAGCAAGTGATCATTTCGTGTCTCTGTGTCACATTTTGGTAATTCTCGCAATGTTCTCGTATTTTTTAGACATAATGCTATTGCACACTTAATAGACTAGAGTATAGTGTAAACATAACTATTATATGCACTGGGAAACCAAAATATTCATGTGATTCGCTTTATTGCCGTGGTCTGTAACCGAACCCGCAACATTTTCGAGGTATGCCTGTACTACTAGGTTGATCGAGTAAAAAGGGCGAGATGGCGGAATCTGCAAGACGACGTGGTGTTATAACCCAGAAAAAAGCAGTCGTAGAAACCTTAATCTGTCCTTCATGACCACATACTAGTATTGGTGAATGATAACAATCAGTAATTAAAATATTTCTATTCACTGGACCGATTTTCCGTACTATTACACATGAACACTGAGAGAGTGAATGTATATAATCGAAAGAAAAAGCAAATACTTGCGAAGTTAACATACAGTAGAGGTGATTTATTATTGTCCATCTATTTGTATGCATATACAGTATAATATCATCAAATTGCATAGTCTATTTTAGATCCTTAATGCCAAAATCAGTCAAAATTAGGAAATAAAATGTACAGACGGACAAATACTACATTACCTATTCGTGAAAAGTTTTCTTTGCGAAGAACTATGAAAGCTAAAAGAATGAAACCTTCGCAGTACGCTACCGGCTTTCTTACCAGAATGTACGAAAAATTCCTCTTTGTAACGTTCAATCTTATTAATATTTTTGTTTACTTAGAAGTTCGACGAAAGCAGATACATACGTTACTATACTTTCTCTTTTACAGCGAGGTCAATGAAGGCGGTAATAGATGGAAGAATAATTATAAACTAGGGAGAGTCAAAACTTGAATAGGAAGTGATTATGGCTTATTGCAAAACACGTCACATTAATAGGCTTAACATGCAGACGAGCTAAGCGAGGCCAGTAACACGTTGCTTCAATCGAAAGTAATGCAAACCTCTCGCATGTTACTGTACCAACTCCAAAGTTAGGTTGTACCGAATGTTCTCGTCCGTTCACTCAGTTCGACACGAAGACTCATTAAATAAGCGATCACACTTTTCCCTTGTAACCGTCCACAGATGCCATTCACAGTTAACTTCTACTTCCTCCATTTTTTAACACATTAATCTCGCTATATATTTTTAGACATACTAGTCTTCAAGGTAGAGGTTTCCAGTTCAAACCTAATTATCGAGGCGATGCGTTCCTACTACTTGATAACCACATAAAAAGACTACATTGCTTCACAATCCAGAAGACAACAAACAATTCACATTTTCTCCGTCGTAGAAACCTGTTAAGTGTACACTTCAAGCAATTTTACTATTCTTTCAGTTTGTTGATTTTTTCGGGTCTAAAGCTACCAGTTTGTTAGCTAAACCATTAGTGGGTTTGTTTCTCTTTCGGCGAGTAGGAATCAGCCCCTAACAAGTGGACTATAGTTCCCCTGCAAGTCACTGTGTATTCTCTTTGCCACTGTGAACAAACACCCAGGAACAGCTCGATTCCTCCATCCTAACGAACGCACATTTTACGGCGTAAATTCACCAACGTTCAGCTGAATAAGACTGTCAGCAACAGAAAAACACGGGGGACTGAAGAACGAAACGAAAAAATCTAATTTAGAATCATTATACTATGGAATATCTTAAGAGCAGACGTCTTGGTTATAAGAAGGGTTCAGATGTTCGTGACATGTCATATTTTTATTGAGGCTTCTATTTTCATTCTAAACTGAAATTAAACACTAACTGAGTTATCCTAATCACAATTATGCTGTTTTTATTTTGCATATAAATGCATATTTAGGTCATTTTTATGTGTTTGGTCATATTTGTAGTTAAATGCATATTTCTGTTGTATTTTAAGGATAAAAATCATATTTTGGTTGTATTTTAGGTATAAACTTTTACTTGTAACTAAAGTTCTCAGACACTTTCAGTGAATCCCTATGTGAAATGAACTGCCAACTGAACAAAGTGAACAATGAGCAGTTCAAAACGTTTTTCAAGAAATACACGACTCAGTTAATTCCAGACGAATTAACACTACGAAAAAACTATGTACCTGCCTGATATGAAGATGTTCTGAAAAGAATTACATGTACTGTGGGTGAGAATAAGATTTGGGTTTCGATTTATGAACGTCATGAAACGTTTGTGATGTCTGAAGTTACAAAACCACATTGTGCGACAATCTAAGAAGATTTTAATTTGAGACCTTGAAAATGCAAATCGCTATATATTTTAATGCTCGTTACAAACCATCAGAATTAAGTTTTTACATATGTCAGTGTCCTTCTTTAATTTGTGCAGCACATTTTACCCGCAATATTCTCCGTTGGTTTATAATAAATATGTGTATCCCATTGCTATTTTATACAATTCTGCCATCAGTTCGTTTGTCACCACATTTCGCCACGTGTCACTACCATTTCACACTTCCGAAACACTGTTTGCAGGATCATCATCAGCTCATCCCAACACACAGCTGATGCGCTGTATGAAAATATTCTTTACGCCACGAAGGAGCCTTCAATGTCTACAGCAGTCACCAATGGTCAAGGGCTAATCTAATCGTGAAGCTACTCATGCACGTGGATATCAAGTCTGCTACAGCGTAATCGTGTGGGCTGTCAGCGTGCGGGGCATCTTCGTGGGCACTTATCTGTTAACACTCCGGCTGCATACTTGACTTCTGTAAAGATGCTACGCCCCATGTAGGGGCTCAGGGAGAGAGACGGTATAGCTACAACTCAATCTCAACCTCGGCACTAGGTGGGGGTGAGTGATCAGCGTCACACCCCTCCGCGCCCCCGAGGAAAGGAACTCCGGTACCCATTGAATAGGAGGCTGGCTGCGCCCCAGTCTGGACACTTGACTCTTGTAAATTTTCTCAAACTGTCGCGCTGGGGCTGCTTGATGATGTACCCCAGATGCTTGACAGGCCTCATGCCTCCAGCACACGACACGACGGAGTCCCAGTGCACTGTGGAGAATATGTACCAAGCGTTATAAAATAGATAATTACGAAAACGTTACTGTATGTTTTACAAATATGGGTTTACTTCTTGATAAAAACATAAACTGATGTTATTAAACTAACAACAAGGTCTAGCAAGCATCTCCAGAATTTAATCTCCTCCTAACTTCTTCATGAGTGTCATTTTGATTTGTTATTGTTGTTCCCAAATATTTGAACTTTGTAACACTTTCAAAGGACTTATTAGCTACCCTAAGATAATTTTGCCCTCCTGTCTGCTGACGACGAGATACTAACATGTACTTAGTTTTTTGTAAATTTACTTCTAGCCCCACCTGTCTACTAGCCTCTAGTAAAACTTCTGTGTTCCTCTTTATTGTATTCATATCGTCCCCCAATAAATTAACATCATCAGCATATGCCAATAACTGATGTGTCCCATTCAATTGCAAACCCTCCTGCCTATCTTGGACTTTCCTGATGGCATATTCTAGCGCGAAGTTAAAGAGCAAGGGAGACAAAGCATCTCCTTGTTTTAGACCGTTCTTGATGAAGAATGTCTCAGATACATATTTACCTACTCGAATTTTGCTACAGGTTTCATTCCATAAAAGACCGGGATTTTTTAACCACGTGAGTAATTATCAGCTTCTAAAATAGTCCTACTGAATGAGGCAGAGACAAGAAGTTTATTGAAGCAGTCGCAACAATGAAAACGGGAACAATTTTTACGCTACGCTGTTAGATTGTTTGTTCTAGGTTTCCATGGTTTTGTAGGTTCAGAATACGAAGAGAAGTGAATATGGCTGGCAACAAGCGATTTATTAAAAGGAAGAAAGATTCTGACAATCATGAATCTCCGAATGACAAAGGCTGCGGCTGTTGGCCACGTTCCTTCTGGAAATTGGTAAGTAACATTACCTAGATGGATTTAACTTTATAGGTAACATTTTCCCGTGGCGTTACTTCCAGGGTGCCATTATCTCTTGCATATCATCTAGTATTTGTGATGTTATGCAAATATGACAGAGATAGAAATAAGATTTAAGCAATGACAAACCACATTACTTCCGTTTTAAGGTGACATCTACAATGTTACAAATACTTATTTTTGTTGTCCATCTCTCATGAGTAATGTTCCTGAGTTTTTGCAGTTACGAAGAAAGTAAAATCAGACTAAATTAAATAAGTAAAAGTAAAGCTGTCCCACTATACGCCATGTAGGCGCTTGGAGGGAGAGGTGTTATAGCTCCTACTCATTCTTGACCTCGGCACTAGATAGGGGTGAGTGGTCACCATCACTCCCCGGCCGCGCTTTACCCGTTGGATAAATTAAATAAATACTTGCAATAAATAAATTTAGAATTGTTTCTTCACGTAATCTGTCTAGAAACGTAAAAATGAAAACATATTAATCTACTATTTTTCTTCTGTTTTCAAATTTCTGACACTTGGCGTGTTGAAAACATCGAGGAAAAATACAAATTAAGGTTGTTTTAGAACAGGGCTTTGAAGACTTATTTGCTGTTTATTTAACGACGCTTAAACCAGCTCAGACAATAATTGATGATTAATAAACAATGAATTGGAAAGAATGTGGAAGAACGTTGCTGTGGCCTCATTTTAAAATAATATTTCAGTATGTTTCTGGAGGAACATTTACATCCGGTCTTGGGCCGAGATTTGAATCCGTGAGAACTGGACCCAAGTGGAAGTAACATGAGGCTGAAGGAGACTGAAAAATGATGGAGCTCATATCTCGTACTCTTCAACAAATAATTTTAGGGTGATCAAATTAAAGGCGGTCGAAATGGGTGGGACATATAGCATAAATGGGAAATATGAGAAGTTAATACATAATTTTATTCCGAATTTCTGAAAGGTACAGTGTACTTGATACACTTAGGTGTAGACGGTGTGCAGTATTAAAATGGGTCTTAAATCCGACTTGAGGACACGTGTGGCCTTGATTCAACTTACTCAGGGCAGACACCAATGACGAACGATTGTAAATACAGCAATGAATCTCTTGATTCCATGAAAGGCGAGGAATTTGTTGACCAGTAGAGAGACTATTAGCTTATCAACAAAGACTCTGTACCACATAGCTAAAAAGTTTTTTTACAAATTTGTTGCTGCTATTTTGGTTTGAAAAGTAAACAAACGTTTCAGAATAAGTATTATTACGTGCCTCGTGTTACAGATAATTTCTGAACGCTACAACGATAACAATCGAAGTTTTCTAATTCAGTTCGAAGATCGTAGATATTTACTAGAAGTCTGTGTTTCTGGTGTAGCTTTGTAATTCATATCTATGTTTTGTTTAACAGTGCCGCGGTGCCCGGACTTCCAGTAAAGTAAAAAAAAAAAACAGGTAAGTAAACTACAGTTTTGTAAAATTTGAGAAACGTTGGTTAACATCGACCAGTCTACACAGCGCAACAACCCAGAAGACAGAATTCTTCAAACTACAGTTTTACACGTATCACTTTCTGCGCCACAGTCTGAATTTAAATGCCTGCCGTGCATCAACTGCTTAGGCCATTTATCACTTACATTTAACTCGCCCGGTATAAGGTAAGTGTTGAACCAGATAATTACGCCAGTTTCATTGCTAACTATTACTGTCAGTTGCACAGGTAAAATGTACTATGGTCTTACACTCCTGCGGTCGCTTCGTATCTCAGAAAACAATTGAGTTCACGAAATATGTGCATATATTGCAACACCCTACAGTTGTGGGTTCGAATCCCCTTACCACCAACAACCATCATATTTATTGCCACAGTCTCCAATAGCGGGAGACTGCCACAACATACTTTTTATTGATTTATGGGAAGTGATCTGTAGAACTGAGAAATCGCATAATAAAGAAACCAATTTGAAATACCTATAGAGTGGACACCAGACAGAATTTCAAAGTCGTGGCTATTCTTATACGATACGACAAACAGAATTTTTCCACTTTTTTGCTGCTTTCTGTCCAGTTTGATTCTTGAAGGTTTTCACCGGCAGCTACCTAGCTTTCTTGACGTTTCCTCCACGTTCTCTTCTATCTCTGCCCATATGACCCCGTAGTTTTCAGCAGACGATTTCCTGTTAAAGGTTTAACAATTGACCTCTACAAACAACTGGGAAACAACTGTTCCTCTTTCACTTTTTATATTAAAATCTACATGTTTTTAAAATGTCATACAGAGTTGCCCTCTTGAAATGTTCGGGCCATCTTCACAGAAGTAAGAATTATGTCAATATTAGAAATATTATTGAAGAAGTCCACGCCTTACATTTCTCTCCAAATATTAAATTTTACAGACTCATCACAATTTTTGTTACTGTTCTCTTCAATTGTGATTTCTCTGCGGCGATTAAACTACACCGGTGGACTTATATTCTTTGTGCATCTTAAGTACGCTACTCGCTGATACTTCTGTCGAAGAGGCCAGTTTTTCTGCTATGACTTACAATGTTATATGAGTGTTATTTGTCAATAATATTTTACAAATCACTTCTTCACATGAACGGATACCTTTCCCACGGATATGTTTCTGCCTCAATAGTCAGAACACACTCGCTGAGAAGAACGACAATTATTAGAAAATAATCAGTTTGTATATTTAAATCACAGGACGCGTTGTATGTAATATGTCTGATTTTTCGGGATCTTAATTGGCTACTATTGCATAATAGAAAGAAGCTGTGCAAGCCGTACGAAGGGATTTTTTCGGCCGTCAGCCCGTATTGTTTTTTGTAGATCTTCGTCTCGCATTGCACTCCGTACCCGATATCTCACCATCAGAAAATTTATAAATTAAGCTCTGTCAAACGGACAACAGTGTGATGCACTGTCACAGTCCTATAACTCTTCGATTAATCTGAATTTTGAATGATTATGGGACGAATAATATAGCAATGTAAGCAATTGTTGTGTATCCCGTTTGTCCACAGATCTGGGGCATCCAACAGCAACAAGGATTCAATCCCTAAACTTGTAGGCCACGGCATTAGCTCAGCACAAACCAAACGTAAAGAAAAGGGACGACCAACTCCCAAAGGAAAAAGACGATTAAGCAACGATTGTTTCAGAACATATACCATCATGACTAAGAAGATAGAAGACGAACTGCAAACTGTTAGATTAGCGAATTCTCGATTCAAGAAGGCTACAGGTCCTCAGTCAGACATGAAGCCACCTACTGAGTCCATAAGGTCACCAAAAACAACAACTAAGAAAGAGAGACGACTGACCTTAAACGAGACGAGACATTTAAACGAGGAGCTGTTCAGAACATACACCATCGCTACTGAGGATATAAAAGAGGCACTGCATATTACAGGATCAAAAAAATCTCCTTTAAAGAAGGCTACAGGTCCTCAGTCAGATAAAAAACCCAGGAAAGTCCGTATCTAATCTTTGAGGCACGCACGCAAAGCGCAAACCTACAACAGAAAAGGTAGGCTAAGTGAATGCCTCTGATTTGCCCCTAAACTTCCAAGCCAGGATATTACCTCAGCATAATCTACACCTAGGGAAGGAAGACAACTGACTCCCAAGCAGAAAAGACAATTAAACAAGGAGCTTTCAAAACATACAGCATCACTACTAAGAAGGTAAACTACGCACTGTAAATTGTTGGATTAGCAGATTTCTGGGTATTTTGAAACTCTAGTTTCTTATTGATTGGCGTTTTATCTAACTCTTACATACATTATCATGTGCAAGGGATCCCGGACTTACTATAACCTTGGAGATGCGTGAAATTATTAAGGCAGCTAGAGTATACATACTTCTTTTGCCAGTTAGATATGTTAGATAACGTAATTTATCTGTCGGAGGATTTACCTGTATATAGATTATTTGGGTATTAAACTGAATTCTGTTGTGCACTTAATTACGTATTAGACTGTATCTTAAGCACCTATCCTATTTAATTAGAGTGGACTAGGTGGAAGTAGTTATCGGTGGAATACGTTATTTTAACTCAGTTGAGTTCCACATACTTCACTATACTTCTTAAAACACAGTCCATTACGTAGGTAAATGTACAACAGAATTCAGTTTAATAACCAACCAACCAAAAAGCTAACTAAGGGCGGAGTCCTGCGCAAGCGCAAGCATCGTCTCTTCCTAGGTGACACCATTCCTGCGTACGAGGCATATTGCTGGAAATGGTACACGGTCTTAAACTAAAAACGGAAATTTTGCTAACGCTAACAGGGTTTCAGTTTAATACCCAAACAATCTTCTTCTTATACCCAGTTCTCTGCTACGTAGAGCATATTGGTCGCCTTGCGAAGGTTTCTAATCTATTTTTAGACGTTTGGTAGGGAATCCTTGGACGAGTAATCATACCATCGCAAGGCCTCTGCCAAAAACATGTCTGAGAAATGGCCGCTGAATTTTGCTTACGAATCATATCTTTCATGCTCGTAAGGTTTCTTTACATGCCGTAAATCTACGACATGGAACCGCCGGCTTTACTTCCCCTACGAAGGAAGTAGTGTTACGGATTTTTTTCACCCTTAAAAAATCCATCGATCTCGGCCGGGATGAACACGCAAATCTTGGGTCCAGTGGCAAGCACGATACCATCGAGGGCAACACCCAAATAATACAGGATGAGTCAAAAGTATGTTTACAAACTTTATTTGCTTGTTCCAGGATCAAAAATAAGAAAAAAAATCCTATGAACCTTGAGTCCAAAGTGTTACATTTTCGAAATAATAGCCAAAAGTAAGTTTCAATAAATTACTTTATGTCAAAGTGAATCCAGCTTCCAGCAAAGATTTTCAATTAACGTTTGGACAGGAATTGTTGGCGACATACTTGGTCCACACATGCTTCCATCGCGTCTAAGAGGACCTTCATATCGGCGATTCTTAAGAAGACACTTGCCACATCTCCTTGAAGTTGTACCACTAAATATAAGAAGAAAAATGTGGTTTATGCACAACGGAGCCCCAGCACACTTCTCCCTTCGCGTCAGATATTATGTCAATGAACAGTACCCTCAGCGATGGATTGGACGCATGGTCACCGAGGTCACCGGACCTGAAACCATTGGACTTCTATCTGTGGGTCACTGGAAGTCCGTCGTCTGTGCAACACCCATAAAATAAAGAAGACCTATGGGAACGTGCGCGGAATGTATGCCAGATGATTCGAGGAAACCCTGGTGTGTATGAACGAATCCGTCAGTCTTGTGTATGTCGTGCTCGGGCATGAGTGGAGAACGGAGGAGCAACCTTTGAGCATATGTTATAAAGAAACATCCCTGTCCTTATACTCGGCAATAAGGGCATATATTTAAACTTATTTGTGGCTATTATTTTCAAAAAGATGTATTTGTGAACACATGTTTATAGGATTTTTTTTTTTGATCCAGCAACACGCACACAAAGTTTGTAAACATATTTTTGAATTATCCTGTATATTCACAGATAAATACCCCAACAGGTAAATCACGTCATCTAATGCACTATCATACTTAACCAAAAGTCCTACTGGCACGTATCGTCATCGGTACATTCAACCTGGGATCCCTTCAACATGATACTGTAAGTAAGAATTAGATAAAACGCCAATCAATTAGAACCTACACTTTAAACCCCCCCCCCCCCCAACAAAAACCTATACTGATGTAATACACTCATCTACGCCACTTCTATAATTCCAATCTCTGCTGATTTATTATACAAAAATTAATTCAATAAAAGTGCAACAAGAAAGCTTAATTCCGCCTCCAAGTTTAATAACCCGAAAATATTTTAACTCAAAGACAGCTAGCATCCTAATAGTTTAGTATCTTAAACAATATCTTACAAAATAGCCACACAACTTATAATTTCCTCCAATAGATTCAAGAATATTTTTTAAACCCGTGAAAAAAGCATGTTTCTACTCTATGTTAAATTTCCTATGCTTCCATATACATTCCTATTATGAATAACTGTAAAACATTCATGCAGATTCATTCAAATATCATCTGTTTCAAATGTGTACACAATTTAGCAGGCGCATTTGTTAGTTTCAAGAATTGAAAGAGAATCGCGTGAAGACAACTAATTAGAGTCAAAACATGTAAAGCGGATCTTAATAAACATTGAGAGCATAATCGAAAACCACTGTGCAGACGGACTGTCAACCTAAAATTATTACTCATGTTCACCCTCTTACTATGTTGATTGTAGCTCACAAATTTCGAAGTCTTGTAAGTGTTATATTACCAAGAGCTAGTATATTTAACAATTTGTTTGTAAACACGTTAGCAAATGCGAATAAAATTCACAAACATTTGACAACGCTTCTAATTAGGAGGCAAAATATTTTGTTGTTCACGATGTTCCGGTTTTCAGAGTAGATTACCAAATATACTTGAAGAGTATGTTTATCATTACAACACTCATTCTTTATAAAATGTTACTATTATATAAAAAATTGTGATTTCTAAGAACCTGAAAATTAAAGTATAACAAAACAATAATTTTGCATGTTGTTTTGTATGGGTGTGAAACATGGTCTCTCACTCTGAGGGAGGAAAATACATTGCAGGTTTTTGAGAATAAGGTGTTGAGGTAGATATTTGGGCCTAGGAGAGAAGACGATGGGGCATGGAGAAAACTGCATAATGATTAACTTAAAAATCTGTTTCTCTCTCCCCGTATTGTCAGGGTGATTAAGTCGAGAAGAATGAGATGGGCGGGGCATGTAGCGCGCATGGATGGGACAAGAGGTGTGCACCGGGTATTGGTTGGGAAGCCTGAGGGGAAGAGACTGCTGGGAAGACCTAGACGTAGATGGGAGGATAATGTCAGGCGGGATCTATGGGAGATAGGAGTTGAAGGAGACTGAATTTTGTTGGCCCAGGACAGGGTCCGGTGGAGGCCTTTGGTTAATTCGGTGATGAACCTTTGGGTTCGGTAAGCCATCTAGTTAGTTAGTTAGTTAGTTAGTTATATAAAAATTTCCACTAAACTCGAAATTAAATTATCTTTCTACGTTGACACAACTAGTCTTTAACTTTCAAATGATTAGATCTTGTTGTTGCGTACTTTGAAGTGAATTATATAACTTGCTGCTTAAGTTCCTGGGTTCCTGATGCGATTTTAACAATTTAGAATGCATCAGGCCCATGATAAAATATAAATGATGGGATAAAACAATTTATATTTCTTATTTCTTGTCAGTACATTTGTGCACCTTTAAATGAAACACATGCGGAATGATTTTTGTGTGGATAACCAGAAATTTTGGAACCTTTGTTGTGACTCAGCTGAAGATGAAATACATTTTCAAAAATATTCCTTTCTTAAGCTCAACCCCAGGGAGAAAGTCGAACATACACTGAACTTCTGTGGGTGAAATATCACCTTGGATAGTGAGAAAATGTTTTACAATTTAGGGATAATAACGTCACCTTGTAAACTACCGTGCTAATTATGTTAAGGGAAGATCTGCCACTCAGGTAGTCTGTGTGTAAACATTTCGTGCCGCAACACTGTGCTAACCATTCTTTACAAATACACGAGAGAGTCACAAGTTTTACCTGTGCCTTCAAAAGAACCAGCCAGTAAGGGCCTAACAGGCTGTGGATAGGAAAATATTGGCCTGCCTCTGGTGTTACTGTCGCAGGCGAAGAGATAATTGCTAACCCTCAACATGAAAAGTGTTAGTACATACAAAAGTTATAATAAATGCCAAAACATCCGATTTTGTACTACTGGACAAATATATTACGAAACAACTTTTAAATTGGAGCCACACACTAAGACATATTCGGAACCGTGAAGGAAGAAGCTGATATGTAACCCCAAGAAGTGCGGGAATTATCTTTTTAAACATTTCTTCCCTCGCAGGCCAACAAAACGCAAAGGCGTATTTCCAACGAACCGAAGTCACTTTCGTGACATGTTCAAGATACAGAAAATAAAATCGAACAAATGAGAATATATTTGAAAAGCTTATCTAGATACATAATATATTATTATAAAAGTGGCCATGATGGTGTAAATTGAAATGCCTTCTAGTCTGTTTGTTGTTTCTTTCTTTTACCAATGTTGAACATTCTCCATTTTCTGAGGTGTAGGGGACTATTTGATACGAAAGACATTTCGGGAGTCATATTTACTGCCATTTCCTGTTGATAAACCCTGCACGGCCCACGTTCTTTCCTCTAGCCTCTGCGTCCAGACCGGTTCTGGGGCCCACCCAGCCTCCTCTAAAATGGGTACCGGGGTCCTTTCCCGGGGCTAGAGCGCGGCCGGGGCGTGATGCTGACCACTCACCCCTATCTAGTGCCGAAGTCAAGAATGAGTAGGAGCTATACCTCCACTCCCCCAAACGCCTAAATGACGTATAGTGGGACAGCTTTACTTTTACTTTAGACGGATGACAGTAATGTAATGTAATTGATACGTTTTGTATAAGAATTTAATTCTCTTATCCACTGTTTGATTTTCTGTTCC